TTACACAGGGCAGCCTGGGGGGTTGATGGATCCCCTGCCAGCCCTGCAGGGGCCCACACAAGGGGGTAGGAATTGAAGGCTCAGGTAAAACAGAAAGCTCTTGGCACAGGTCCTGCTACATTCTTAAATTCAATAAGGGTTAACTATTTTCATAATTATATTTAGTTCACATCCCTAGAAGCACATTATTCAAATGAGGATATGGACTGTTCAGATCACAGCTGGGACATTATTTTGTAAGAATACAGTGATAAACTCCAGGGAAAGGTGACCAAGAGAGCCAGGAAAACGTGAAATAGGAAGAAATATGAAATATGAGAAAAATTAAGAAAACCCAAGGTCTTTAATCCAGACGACACTTGGGGTTATGAGGGGTCATATGACAACAAAGTAAGTTTCTGTTTAATTCTGGGAAACAGTACTGTGTTGTTAAAGATTCTGGACCCTTCCTTATCTGTTAAGTTTATTAACCTCTCCAATGCCTCCATGTTTTCTTCTATAAAATGACATTAACTAGATCACCTACCTTCTAAGATTACTGTGGTGATTAAATGAGTTAATATTTGTAAAATGCTCAGAAGAGTTATCTGGCACGTAGTAACTGCTGGATAATTGTTAATTATTTTGTTGTTGGTGATTGTTATTATTTCTATAATTAGAGCCCTGGGTAAGATTCAGAGCACCAGATGACAGCCGAGAATTTTTTAACAGCTCCAGCAATGGGAAAAATGAAAATAGCTGTCTGTGCAGCAGAAGTATCTTCTTCCGGAAGCCACTGATCATGACGAATCGGTCATTAGAAAGGAGATTTCCCCCCTTCCTGGGCGAAAGCAGCTATGTCATCTCTGGAGCCTGCGTACCCACTGCGCAGAAAGTAAGGCGAGGCCAGGCTCGGAAGAGGCGGGGTCAGCGGGCCAGTGATGCGACAATCCCAGCACACCGCCAGAGAGCAGCAGAGCCCGTCCCAGGATGCTTTGTCCTCTGAGAACAATTCTCACTCCTGGGCCTTGCTCTGCTGTTCTGGCCGCAGTAACCCCGCCCACTGTGGATCGCCGCGCCTCCTGGGTAGCTCCGGGCCCCGCCTCCGCGCTCCAGCCCCGCCCCGCGCTCCAGCCCCGCCCCCGCGCTCCGAGCCCTGCCCCCGCACTCCAGCTCCGCCCCTGCTGGGCTCAGCCAATCCCCAGCGGTGGGGCCAAGCGTCACCGGTCGAGGGCTCTCAGACTTCCGGGCCTGGAGGCACAAGTGTCAGGTAGGTGGCTGGTTAGCGGGCCCCAAGGGCCAGAGGACGAGGAGGCGGGACGTCCTTGCCCCCGGTGACCCGTGCTCTGTGTCCTCCCACAGCGATGGGCGTGCAGCCCCCCAACTTCTCCTGGGTGCTTCCAGGCCGGCTGGCGGGACTGGCGCTGCCGCGTCTCCCGGCCCACTACCAGTTCCTGTTGGACCTGGGCGTGCGGCACCTGGTGTCCCTGACCGAGCGCGGGCCCCCTCATAGTGACAGCTGCCCCGAGCTCACCCTGCACCGGCTGCGAATCCCGGACTTCTGCCCGCCGGCGCCAGACCAGATCGACCGCTTCGTCCAGATCGTGGACCAAGCCAACGCCCGGGGCGAGGTCAGCGGGCGGAGTTGGTGCGGAGGGGGATCTGGAAGGGTCAGCGGAGCGCTCTGGCGGAGCTGGGACGGCGGGGCCAGGGCAATAGCCGGGGTCCAGGGGAGAGATTGGGAGAAAATAGGAAGGCAGGACGACAAGGTTGAGTTGGGACCGAAAGCCACTGCAACGTTGTCTCAGGGGGCTCAATAAAAGAGAAAGCAAAGCAGTGCGGGGTGGGGGGGAGGCTTGAGGATTGGTAGCAGAGAGCCCGCTAATATTGAGAGTCAGAAGGAGAAAGATGGACAGACTTGGGAGAAGTGGAGTGGAAGTCATATGGAGGCTGTTTACTCTTCTAGAGCAATGCTGTCCAAATATAATGGAGCCATGTATGCAATTTTAAATTTTGTAGTAACCATGATTTTTAAAAGTAATAAAAGCAGGTGAAATTAATTTTGGTAATATTAACCTTGTACGTCAAAATTATTATCATCTCAACATATAATCAGTATAAAATAAATTCTTAAAGAGATATTTTCATTCATTTTTTTGCACTACGTCTTCAAACCCTTGTGTGTTTAATACCAAATCTCAATTTGGACTGGCCACATTTCAAATACACAGCAGCCACCTGTGACTTGTGGCTCCTATATTGGACAGCACTAGTGGACAGTTGTGGGGAGCAGACCAGGAACCCAGCTCTTGAACCAGCCATGTCAGGGACAGCCCTCCCTGACTCTGATGTCACTTCTTGCCTTCTGAGGACATGAGACTGTATACAGAGCCCTGAGCCTGACCCAGAAGCTGCAGCTGTGGGGAGAAGCCCCGCCCAAATGAGGGGTCAGGGAGTGTTAGGGAAGGCTTGGGACCCTACCCTAAGCTCCCTCTCCACAGGCTGTGGGAGTGCACTGTGCTCTGGGCTTTGGCCGCACTGGCACCATGCTGGCCTGTTACCTGGTGAAGGAGCAGGGTTTGGCCGCAGGAGATGCCATCGCTGAAATTCGGCGCCTTCGACCTGGCTCCATCGAGACCTATGAGCAGGAGAAAGCTGTCTTCCAGTTCTATCAGCGAACTAAATAAGTGGCCTCAGCACCCTTCTTGGAGGCCCTGCTCCAGAGCCCTGTGTAGTTGGGGCCAGAGACAGAGGAAAGTGGACTGAAACAGAGACTGAAATAATGCACCCCTGCAGGCAGGTCCAGACTGAAGGCAGGCTGGAGGGGAGGCTGTCCTGCTTCTACCCTGAATAAATGACTTATAAGAACAGCTCACTTTGAGTGGCACTTCACAAAGCTCTCACACACACCAATATATTGGAGCCTCCCAGCAGCTCTGTGGTCTAGGAAGGCCAAAGGCCATCCCCTTTGAGTGCCATGGCCAAGGTTCAGAGAGGCTCCAAGGTTGCAAGCACTACTAGAAAGTGGGAAGATGGGCTAGAACTACAACATGCCTCTTCAGTTGTTCAAAGGTGCTGATATCCTGTGTATCTACTCCCTAACAATATTTGAGGTGTATTCTGGGGTACTGGCCAAGGAAAAGGATTCAGATCCTCAGTAGCCCAGCCTCCCCCATTTCCAGGACTCTGATATTTACAGGCCAGGAGGATCCCTCAGTCCAGGTCCATCTGCCACACATGTGGCACTCTTGTCCCTCTGGGATGTCAGTGCTCACAGATAACCACAATCTCCATCTCCCCAGGGCTGGACACTTCTTGTCAGCCTCAGTTACTGTTCAGCTCATCTGGAACCTCCAGCCAACTCTGCTGCCCCACAACCTCAGGCCTGGGGACGCTCAAACAGAGCCAGTCTGTTACATAGAGCAGATGTTTGCTGATTAAATGAAGAGCTCCGGCGTTATAAATCTTGGCCTTATTTCTCAGATATTATCTTCACTTCTCCCCTGTTGGAGACCCCATCCTGCTCCCGCCACACTTTTGGCTTCTAAGAGATGGGAGGGATGGCCACACCAGTCAAACAGACTCTTTTTGCTTTAAGGTCCACCTGAATTCCTATCGTCTCTCCTGCTCTAGTAGGCTGGTCGGAATAAGGTAGAAATTCGTCACGAAATGTATAGTGAGTGCCTCTGTGTACCAGGCTCTGTTAGATGTGGAGACTACCCAGTGAAATGAGACACGATTCCTGCTCACAAGAGCTCATGGCCTCCTGGAAAAGGTGGGTACAGATGGAGTCCAGCCCCATTTAATGGTACTGTGACAGACACACATTCTGGTTACAGCAGGGACAGAGCAGGGAGGAGTCAAGTGCCCTGGAGACCTCAGCTCTTGTAACCTAGACCAGAACCAGGCCTAGCCACATGCTCTTCACTTCTCCCTTCCACTACCTCCCACCCTACCCAACCCTACCCAACTGACCTAAACAAAAAGGACATCAGCTGGAGCCTTGCCCCTGAGAGGGAGAGGCTGTAAGAGGCCCTCTGCCCCGTTTTCATCAGTGTGTCAAATCTGAGTGATCACTTTCTTCCCTTTCTTTACTCCCTTGGTCCCTACCTAACCTATATCAGGGTAAGACCGTCTCCCAAAGAGAATAAATCCACAAATTCCACGTATTCAGGCTGCATTTAAATGAAAAGTAGCACAAAGAGGACACACTGAAACCCTTAATTACTCTGTCTCACCGAAGGTCCCAGATACCCCCCCTCCCTCATTCACTCCCTCCCCAGCAGTATGGACCCATTCTGTTTCCTGATGCGAACCAGAACACCTGCCAAAGAAGTGGGGGTCGTATCTCCACACACACGTTTCCACGTGAAAGGACTGGGGCTGGAAGGCTGTGAATAAACCCTCCGCTGTGCTCTGAGAGCTCCCCAGGATGGGAGAGAAAAGCAGAAGCTTGTCTCCTTTCTCCTCCTGACCCGCTGGGCCCCGCAACCAGTCCTCACCCTTTCTGCCCGTCTGTCTGCCTGCTCCCGTTTGACTCCTCCTCCCCACATCCTCCATGCTGTGGGATAGCAATCTACCCTTCCCTTCTTCCCTGAGCACCTTCAAAAGAAACAGAAAATTTTTCTAGCCCCATTAAAGCCCTGTGTACAGCCTCTATCCCCATAATTTAAGCAAGTCTCCTCTGCCTCAAGAGTTCCTTAGGGAAATAAACATATAATTAAGTGCTTAAGGAAACCATTTTTTTAAATAAGAGTTGACTTGAAATGAAAAACTCTGCCCTTACCCTTCCATCTACCTTGGGAGGTTAGCCTGAGCCTCCTTTTTAGGTCATTCCCACCCCGTCCCTAATTTTTTTGCCTTTTCACCAGCCCCTTCTTCTGTATGTGGCCACCAATGAGGGGCCCCAGATTGGTTGTATCCCTTCCCACCCTCACTGAGATAGATGCAAGGGACAAGCCACTTTCATCTAAAAAATAAAAACCTTTCTCATCATATCAGGGGTTCTCTACCTCAGCGTTGAGGACATTTGGAACTGGACAATCCTGTGTTGTCCTGTCCCTCTGTGCCTTGAAGGATGTTTAACAGCGTGCCTGGCCAGTACTCACGAGATGCCAGGAAGACACCCTTCCCCCTCAGTGTGACAACTAAAAATGTCTCTAGACATTGCCATATGTCCCCTGGGGACTAAAATTGGCCTCAGTTGAGAACCATTGCGTCAGATCACCAAGCACCAGATGCAGTCATGGGCTTTCATTTCGGGCGGAGGGGAGGACATATTTAGGAATTCTTCCCACGGGTGCGTACATCTCAAAAGGGAAGAGAGAGCCCACTCAAAGGCTACTACCTTGTCCAGCAGTGCCTGGCAGCCTTCCCCGTCCCTGAGCCTTTTCCCAGGCTGTTTTCCCAAGGTGGTGATAGGCACCACTGACCTCTGTGTCAGGAGGCCTTTCCTCGTGGTGAGCTGCTGGTGAGCATGGCTGCGGTAACTTCCGCCCCACCCCCTC